ACTCTTTCCACACACCGCCCCTCACTCCAGCCCTGACCTTGTGGGAATATCTGCAGGGAAGAGAGAACGGTTCAGTTTCCAAAGCACAAACTTTTTTATGAGGCCAAGATGTTTCCATTCTATTTGAGTTGCTCGCCTGCAGCGATGTTCCCTTATGCACATTGTACTTTCCACGTCATCTACTATAGGCTCCCGAGGGAGAGTATTTGGCAACCTAAAAAAAAGAAAAAAAAAAAAATCCTTACAAAATATGCTAAAAGTGAAAAATGACAATTGCTCCTGACAGGGTTTCCATGAACGGCAATGCAACAAAATTAAGGACAGGAAATACAGAAATAGCGGAATCTGTACAGTGTTTACCAAATTTCACTATATATTTAAAAGAATGCTTCCCTTAAATCCCAAAATAGAATCAAAGATGATTTGTCACAGCGGCTGCAATGGCATCTGAGGACACTTCCTTCTCCTTTGGCCTCAGGATCAGAACAACTTTGTGCTGGGTACCATTACGGTGCTAAAATGGCAGTCTTGTCCCCAGACAACATCTTCCGAGGTTACTGCTGAATCACGCGGCTGAATTTTTAACACACTTAACCCATGACCAGGCTCTGCGCAAGGTGAAATCCCGAGCGCACAGCGAAAGGCTGGTTCCTCGTGCGTACCACATTCAGTTCTGTTCCTTTCTTAACTCCTGCAAAGATGCTTTTTCCCAGTTATGAGGGAGAGTATTTGGCAAGGTAAAAAAAAAAAAAAAAAAAGGCAGTTATGAGGGTATTTAGTTACCGGGAGCAAACAGGTGGTTAAAACACTACTTTTGTTTGAGTGCGGTGTGAGAACTGGCCTTTGGACCCCAAGTTTGCAACGAAGAACAAAGATGGTCACCCAAAGCTGCAAAGATCGATCTGTTGATGTTTGGAATACGTTCAGGAGCAGGAGACGAGTACACAAGCTGCCAGCTATGGGTTTTATCACGGCATCTGCTGAAGCAACCGGCATTTCCCCAGCGTTCCCCACATGTAGCGTTTCTGCTCAGAAATGAGCCGTACTTCTCCAGCCACATCGCCACGATGTCAATGTACTGCGCAAAAATATCTGAGAGGTGCTGGAGGTAAATGTAACCCTCACAAACAGACTTTTAGACAAAAGATCATTTTTGCCAGTGCTCAGCAAAAGGAGAAAGAGTGATAGCAGTCAACATTTCCCCAATGTGCTGGGATCTCTGGCTCTGCTCATCTGTTACTCCTTTTGTAAAATGTATGAGGAATAATTAAATCCAGTTTAAAAAAAAAAATTTACATCCCCCTATGAAAAGCACTATGGTAATGGCAAATATTTTTATTTTTAGAATGCACTCTGAAGATGTGTAGGAGTGCCAACAACAATAAAAATAGAAAATCTCATAAAAACCATAGCCAAAAGCAACATAGACCAATAAATAAATCTGCAAAAAAAATGGTGTGGAAATAACATAATCTCTGTGCAGCATGCAAAGCCACATATCTTTGCATGAAGCAATGCAAGGAGTGGTCAGTGAAATCTCCAGAATCATCCAAATGTTTTCAAAGTTGCTCTGAGATTTGCAAACATTCTCCCTCTAATTTAAGCTATTGTTTTTCCAAGAGAATTTGAATTTTAAACATGGTTTTCTTAGCTAAATATAAGTCCATTGTGCACAAACAATGACAATCTCTTCTAAAAACAATTCTTCTTCTACATGCCAAGGGTTATACAATCTCAAACAGTGTGAATCCTTCTGCATGGTTTCACTCAGTGAAAAGACTATTCTGACAATCTAGAAAATCAGATAAGGCTCAGATATGAAAACCTCTGGCTTTTATTCTATGTCTTACTCGAATACTTTCAGAACTAGAGCCTAAAAGTCATGATTTTGAGGGGTGGGGAGGAGCTTGAGGCTAGATTTAAAACTTTTGGAGAATATGCTGCTTTTGTATTATTACTAAAACCCATTCTCTCTGGATAGAGAGAGATGTCTGCACACAGTGGAAGGAAGCTCTGGTTAGAAGCACAAGAGGCCTGGGCTGGTGCATAAGACACTTAGATTGAATCATATTAGCAAAGGAACTAGAAATCGATTGGTCTGCTTCCAAGATGCAGTTTAAAACTGCTTTCACATTTGTTTGAAGCAACCAGAAGCCATCACAGCTGCCAAAAGCAGCAGTTCAACATTTCCTCCACCACTGGTCTTTCATTCCTGCCCCCACGCATCTGCTCTCCCGTGTCAGCACCAGCGGCCGTACAAGCACACGGTAAACAGCTTTTCCACTCTCTCCTCACGCAGCAGCTGCTCCACGCCCAGGATCGGTTTCGGTGCCCAGCTCTGTGCCCTCACAGACCCTGCTGTGTTTCTGAGATGCAGAGAGCTGCTTGCTGCACGAGAGGTGGGAATGCTCGGAGGGTTTATGTAAGCACCAAAAATGCCACCCCATGTCTCCTTCTCCAGTCCTCTCCCGAGGATTCCCAACGTTTTCTGGGCTTTTTTTGCTTCTGTTGCACACTGAGCTGATGAGTGTGAACGACCAACGATGACCCCAAAGTCCCTTTCCTAACTGATGAGTGCCACATCCAAGTTCAGCATCATTTAAACATAGTTTATATTCTTTTTCTTTAGATGCATTACCTTACCTTTAGCTAGACTAAAGCTCACCCGCCAACTTTATGTGCACTCACTCACATTTGTGAGGTCTTTCTGGAGTTTTTCAGCACTGGCACAACGTTTGGTTACCCAAAAGGACTTTAACTTTTCTTTCTATTGATTGTGATGCCTCTCTTTTGGAGCAAGCCAGCAGATCTGTGTTCTTCTAGGAATGTCTTTGCTCGTATAGAATATTCTCCGTGATCTTGCCTAATTTAGCTGGCTTCTTTTCCTGGTCTGAAACTCTTCTGGCCACCTAGAAGCTGATAGATATATTACTGTTTGCTTTTATAGGAGGACTATTCTGAGGAATACTTTTATATTACTCACTAACATATGCTTTTAATAGCAGATGGTAACAAACGTTCCAACATCCTACACTTAGAGAGGTGGACAGTTACATACTGCTGCTGGCTAATCCCAAAATTTATGATGTGTCCAGCTCAGTAACATATTTCAAAGTACCCTGTTAACTGACCACAAGGTTTGGTTTCCTCCTCTCGTTTTCCCTGTTCTTACAAAACTTGTGTGAGATTAAAGCACCCTGGTAATGAAATTTCCTGGAAAAGATTTTTCAGTGTTTGGGTGTTTGCAAAAAATCTGGAAGCAAATTTACACTGGAAGATTTGAAAACCATTCACGCAGGAGCCATGTCCCAACAGACGCATGATCTGGCAGTTCCCTCCCAGTACCATGAGCTGGGGAGCCCTCCAGACATTTTGTTCCACCTCTTCATCAGCTGACTGTCATGATGGTGAAAATAATAGCACTTGGTGCTTACACAGCAACTCTGCACAAATTCTGCTTCAAAGGGAGTTTTTAGAGGGGAAACAGAGCCTTAGAAAAGGAACACATCCATAAATCTTCTGAATCTTGTGCTAATTTCACTGGACTGCTGTGCACCAAAGGTGGATTTTTCTAAAGCCAGCTCACACTCAGCATGTCCTCTGTGATGCTGGTGTGGAAACTGAGATCATTTGACCACCTGGCCCCCAGAGCTTTGGGAAGGGGTTGTGATCTAGAGACCTGGCCTGATTTCCCATCCTCTTGTGCTAGCGTGCAACCGAACCTCTGGTGTCCAGGACCTAGTGGGGAGAACTTGGGTGTCTGCTGTGACTGAAAGCAGTGGCGTGAAAGCCGCTGGGCAGATAAAAGTCTTTTCAGTGGCTGCAGCCATGGGCACCTTCTGCCTGCTAGAAGCATGCAGAAGACAGGAAGAATCTGCATCTTCAGGTCTCCATGACCTGTGGGTGGATTAGCTTGCAGTTCCGCTTTCAGTTAATATCCACATCTCCCACACAGCATGGCAGAGTGCACGTCCCAGAAATATGCTGCCTGCACCAGGTTCGCCTCTTCTGACTGCTGCCTAAAGCTGCTCCTGCCTCTTGCAGATCTCTTTCGAGACATTTTTCAAAGATGAATGCTCCAATTATATTTTCTATAGTTTAATTTACATCTGGTTTATATCATTTGCAGTTTTGCTTTATCTGGGTCATTCCCTCCCCACTGTTCTTCCCTTTTTCTTCCCTCCCCATTATCCTTGATAACTGAGGGTTGATTGCAGCTAGTGTATGGTTACGGGCTGTCATCCCAACAGACCTTGCAGCCGCCAGCTGTCTTAAAACTGCACTGGGTTTTCCTATAGAATTCATTCTTTCTTCATTCCCTCTGTCTGGCTCGCCCTGCTGAAGGATACGGAGTCCTTCCTCAGCCTTCCCAAGTCTGTCGCCAGCCCTAAATTCACTTTTCCATGTTTGGAGAAACTGCAGTGTCCCAACTCAATGCTAACCCACATTCCAGACAGCCATTAAGACTAACAACACGTATAAACCAGCAGATCAAATGTATCCTGGAGGATACATATGTGAGCTAGTGTTTTGGAATAACCCACAGCTGCCTGAAAACTGGGAGGGGGGGGAAAAAATGTGTTTGCTTTCCTGAGGAGGAGTGTCCCATCAGCTTCGGCACTCTGAAGGGGCCCAACTGCAGGACATAATAGGCTGGGGAGAACAACAAAGCATGGAGCCAATTGAAAATGCAAAGAAACTAGACAGGCAGAGCAGGATTATTCAATGTGGAATTAGAGCAGAGCATGGGGGTGACCGTATCTCGCTGAAAACGTTACCGTGATGACTGCAAAACAGAAAAATCTTGTTTTAGCAAAGATCCAAGGCACAGCACATAAAGCAGGCGGCAGGGAGAGATAAAGCAGCGAGGGAGCATGGTTGATGGAGGCACACACCCGGTGGGTGCCCGGCTGGAGGAATGTCATGGTTTCACTTGTGATTGGCTGGGGAATGGAGGAGTCAGTTTTCACGGGGGCTGATCAAAAAGTTTCCTTTTGCTTTCCAAAGTTGCTGTCTGAGCAGAGGCATGGGGAAGAGGAGGCCAGTCGCTCTAACATTCCTCAGGAAAGCTACTTAAATGAAATGAGAAGGCTTCTCTATCCAAGGATATACAGCCAAGAACAGACGCCGAGAAGCTGTTTTCCTTCTTTTCTCCCCCAACTCCTCCTGGAGTTGAACAGCTCTCATTTCTGGCATGCGTCTCATCTCTCAGGATACTATGTCACAGTATTCGACTAACTTTCTCTTGCTCCCCATACCAGAGTATCCTGTGTTAGACTGCGTGCCCAACAAAATCATCAAGCTGGTGGTACTGGGTGGCAGCAGCGTTGGCAAGACAGGTAAGTCCGCAGGTGTAGTTCCACGCTTTTTCTTGCTGCTGTACTTACATTTGCAGCTCCAATAGACCCGAGGCTGTGAAAACTCTTAACTGTTCCAGCTGCAACATTTTAAGTTACTTTTTTTTTTTTTTTTTTGAAACTGCACTGAATAATTTGTGAGGTCGATTTGCTGTAGGTCTGTGTGAGCAGCCAGCGTGAGGTGGTGGTTGGTAGGAGAGGGCGCTGTGTTGGGAGCTCCCTACTCAAATGATTCTACCTAGTCTTGTGTAAATTATTTAACAGTGTCTCAATTTCCACACCCTAAAAATGGGACTAGTGGTTTTTAGTCTCCTGTTTAAATGTTTCATGCTCTGCAGACAAATAACAGGGTACAAGATGTGTCTTCCTGCATCATTCTTCAAGGGAGAGGAGAAGAACAGAGGGTAAAGCGAGCATTACTGCTTTTGAATACATGATTCTGGATTTCAGGAATTATTAAGGCCAGATCTGTTTTACTACATCTGAGGTTCCACAGCACTCAGTGAAATGTTTGATTGCTCTGGAATTGCAGCAGCTACATTTTCATGTTATTTTTAAATAGTTTGTTGAAGATATCTGCACAGTCAATTTTGTTTAAGGTTACTAAGGAGGTCACCCAGCATCCACTGTGAGAAGAATGATTTTAAATGAAATCTATGATAGAGTTGTTTGCAGAATGAATCCTCTTACTTAGCTATTAACTAAGTGGTTTTGCAAATGATTAGGAATCTGCTGAGATGAAAGCAGTACAGGAATATAAGTTACTGTTGCCATAACAGGATTTTAAGTGTTATAAAGTGTTCAAGAAAAAAGAAAATGTTCTAATCCAGCAGTGTAAGAAAGCACTGCAGGTTAAGGTGAATCAGAAGGCCCAGGGTGCTGCAGCAGGACCCATGTGTGCAGAGCAAATGCAGTTTGTTTGCTGGATGTGATTAGATACCACTAATGGGTTTCATGAGGAGGACTGAGGATTTCTAAGGCTGGGAAGAACCATTACATGCATCAGCCTCACTTCTTATACGAGACAGAGGTCTTAAATGTGGTATTGGGATTAGTTTCTCACTGTCTTGTACTCTTTTTCTAAATTATTTCAGTTTACTGGGTTGTTATTCTTTTTCTAAATTATTTCAAACCAAAGGTCAGGTCGTTATGCCTGCAATCACAACAAACAAACCTCCGTATCCTACACTGAATAGCCACACTGAATCTCAGGGGTAATTTCCAATGCAATTTGCAAAAAACTCTGCATTAGATATCACAGCCTGGCCCCAGATCTTTGTCTGTGAGTGTTGAGAGAACCATTTGCAGAATAATATGTGAGCAATTCAAAGATTAACTTGGTTTCATATTATACTAACTCTTCCAGTAAGATATTACATGTGTTCTGCAAAGATTTATTTTGGTTCACATTAAAGACCCATCTTTTTTTCATTGTTTTACAGCCCTGGTTGTGCGCTTTCTCACGAAGAGATTTATTGGAGACTATGAAGCCAATACTGGTGAGTCTGCTTTCTACCACAGTACTGCAGATAGCTTGAAAAGAAATTACTCTGTTTTGTGCCTGGTGTATATTACAGGAAAGCCAAGCAGTGTTAGATGTCCATAAGGTGCATATTTTCAGTTAATAGCCTCAAGCTATGAAAGCAATAAATCAAAGGCTCATTATTTATGATCCTTTTAGCTATTTTTTTTCCAACTTGATGGAAAAGGATCAGGGTAAAAGGCTTGTTTGGGGACATACCTCTACTAAAACGCAGACTCAAGGAACAACTTGTATATCGACTAAACCATGGAAACCCAATGTTGCTCTCTCTGCAACCCCAGGGAAGCCAGAGGAATTCCAAAGTGCATAAAAGGTAGTGCAGAATTTTTTATGTCTATTCCTTTTTCTTAGTGGCTTTTATGACAAGGGAGACTTCCAGCTTGAAGTCTTCTTTCCATAACATAAGCAAAGTAACCATGCAAACTGCTTCTACTGCATTTCTTGTTTAATCCTGACACCTCAGAGGATGTGTTCATGTGAACTGTTTAATTCACAGCCTCTGTTCCAAGGAAGTGCCAACTGTATTGGCCAGTGGTGTAGAAAAGATCTGTGTACACCACGCTCATACCTACTGGCACATCCCACATGTAGGCCACCTCACAGGCTTTGGGTGAAGGAGGACAGGATTCAGAGCAGCGATTGCTTCACTTTGGAGCTGAATTTAGAATGATTAATTCGGAAAGGAGATGGCAGTACAACACACCTTTCATCTCTGCCCGTCTGAGGAAATACAACCTGAAAACTCCTCCTTACAGCTCCCTCTCACTGACCCTACGTAACCTTGATGGTTGGCTGCACTATTTCTCTTTCTTTTCCTTCATCTCTTCTATGGGAGGCTGTACATCAAGTTGGACTTCTGAGCTTTGCAATGAATTGCTGCCAGAGACACTGCTGGGAACCACATGCTTTTCTCATTAAGCTACCAGCCCAACAGCCATGCTGTAGAAGAAATAAATATGCCAGAAATAAGAAACAGGTGGCAGTGTATTTGTGATCATTCAGCCATACTTCTCCTTTAGTTGGGTATGAGGCAGAGCACAGTCAGTGCCTGGAAGTACCTGCTCTTTTTTCTGCAGTACATTGCAGAGGAGGATTATTACGTTCTCTGGTCTTGGTTCAGAGGTGCAGGATCTTTCCATAAAACAGTACCATCTTTTCTACTTAAAATCTGATTAAAAAAAAAAAATCCCAGAAGGGCTAGATCACCTCACAGAGTCAGTATTAAAACATAACGTGATAGTGTTGGATTCAGATGCAGCAAACCTTGCCGTACTAAATTTCCTTACGTTGTAAATGTTTCTATGAGCTCAGACTCTTTACTGGAATAAAACCACCTGTTCCCTTGAACCAAAGATGATTTTCAGACGTGATGCCATTACTGTCACTAACTGACCTCCCTGTTAATCCCAAATCCTTACTCTCCAATAGATGGGATTTCTCTATGTTTGAGATGAAATACATTGTTTTCTATTCAGCAGTGGCAATTGCATTTGGACAAGACTGAAAGGCTGTACACAACAGCTGTGGATACAGCATTTCTTCACATATCCATGTGATTTGTATTAAGTTCTAAAGAAAAATGATGATGGCATCAACCTCTGAAGCTGTGCTTATCACAACCACACGTAGTTCATAAGATCCAAACTTAAGTTTTCATTATCGCTTAACCTGCAATCCAGTAACAAAATAAAGTTCAAGCCTAGAATAGTGATGGGTTTTTTAGAGCTAGATCAGGCCTAGATGGTTTGAACTAACACCTAGCCCTGAATATGTATCATTCAGCTTAACTAGAAGTCAGATTCAAAGTGTCCAGTGTTTGGGGTTTTTAACCAAACTCCGACTGCTAAAGTCACACAAATCCCAAAGAGCATCTGGGTGATTTGTATACAGTCACTTACTCTTTATCCAAAGCTAGAGTACTTTCCTTTTTAAAAAAAACTTTCAGAAAATTGCAATAGCTTACTCCTTTTACAGACAACACCTAGGTATCTTGGTTTGTTATTAAAAATACATGCAGTCCACATTTTAAAATGTTAACAATATGGATTGAAAACTGGAATGGAATTTATGCACCCACTTTGACTATTTGACTCAGTACGAAGAGCCACCTTTCCCAGATACCACCCTAGGTATACCTTCAAAACATCCAACCACATAGCAAATACAAAATCACTTTACTTAAGTAAACAGCCACACAACCACTCTGGTGCCATTCCCTTTTCTATAAGCAACTATGTATCATAAGCCTCAAAAATCTGGATTTCAACATTTTACCTCTGTGTACACTTTCTTCTCTGTTGCGCTGACTCTAATGATCTTACTTTTCCGCCAGGTGCTTTGTATTCCAGAAAATTCACCATAGATGGGGAGCAGATCTCTCTACAGGTGCAGGATACTCCCTTTGTTTCACTGGAGGTAAAACATCTGCTCCGTGCATTGGTACTTTACAACACAGTTATTGCCTCTTGTTTGTTGCCAGCACTTCCATCTGTAAGTAACTCCGCTTATCAGCAGAAAAATACCTGGGCTCCGACCCAAATGAAGACTAGTGTGGGTTCCTTAAGCCCCACCAAAACAAGCCCTTGAGGAAGTTAAATCTGGCTCTTTTAAGACGAAGTCAAAATTCAGACAAATCTACTTCAGACACATTACTGCATTACAAGCCTAAATAGCAGTAAAATCATCATCTGGCTCGCTCCTGCCAACTCCTTGATTGTTTTATTTCTTGTCAAATGGTTTCTGTCCCGGCATGGCAGATAACTCACCTGCCCAGGCGCCCAGCTGGCTCAGCTTAGACCTTTCTACATACCCAGCATCTCTCTTCTCTACAAGGGTGTTTCTTTCCAAGGGGACAGGCCTCACAGCAGTTGTCATTTCCATCTAGGGTGTTTTCAGTGGTTTCTTTACTTTTTTCCTAAATTTTATTAATTCCTTTTTTGTTAAGGTGTTAGCATTTATCTACACCCCTCTTTCCATCAGTATTTCAGATATTCCAGATTTTATATTTGACTAGGAACCTGTTTCTAGAAATATTTTTCCAAGCAGGATCTAAGATTAAGATGTTTTTTTGTGAAGATCTGCTTCACATGCAGAACAAGAAGATGAAAATAGTGTCAAATCATCAGGAGATGCAATTAAATTTGGTTTTACATGAATGGTAGAAATCTCATGAGATCAATAATTCCTATAGAATAGCTGAGATTTCATTATAAAATCAAGTCTCCTCTTGTCACCGTCAAACCTAAACTTTTAGGTTTGGCCTTAACCTCAGTCTAAGCTCAGACTTGGCCAAATATGTGTGTGGATGGGAACACCACCTTCTCTCATCTGCTTTCAGGCTAGCCTGGACAGCTTTATATACCTTGTTTTGTCTGCACATCCTCATTTGTGCATGGGTTCATTTCTGTGCTGTAGAACTGCTCCATCCTGAGTTTACAGAGCAGGATAAGCAAAGCTCCCACAGCCTCAGTTTCCATTTCCATTTTCTCTGCTGGCTGGAAGTAGATTTAAGCGGAAAGCTTTGACAAAGTTCCACACTCTCTGCTGCTGCTGGGGGTGCACAGAGCAGAGGAGAGGACGTCTCGTTTACTCTGGATGCTAAAAAGCAGACAAAAGCTACCATGGAAGTCCTCCAAATGTTCAAGTGGGACTCAATAGTACAAAGGCTCTGTGCCAGCTTGCTTAGGGAGAACCTGCAAAGGGAAGCTGTGGGTGGTGATTAGGCACGATTGGGACTGCCTGATGAACACTGAACAAAGGGAAACCCCTCTGTTCTATCCCATGGAGAAAGGAGGGAGCGAAAGAATTCATTCCCTCTCTCACAGCAGATATATGTTTATTTTCCAGTTTCCCTGTTTTAATTAAGACTGTGCCCTAAAGTTCTGTGACTGTAGCCAGAGCTCCACAAAATCTAGTGATGCCAACAGCTGAGGTTTCTTAGTCATAAACGATTTTAATTTATTTAGGAAGGAGTTTCATTTTCTTTGTCCCAGTCAAAGGCCTGCACTGTTTCAACAGTTCCCACAGACACACTTACATTAGCCTGTATCTCTGTTTGCATCAAATGACGTCTCGGAAATAATTTGAATGGACTGTTCTTGAACAGGGCTTGTTAAGACCGAGAATAGGTTGGATTTTCTGTTAAAATCCCAAAGGAAGAGAGTTTCTTGCACTGTGCAGGCTGAGCACAGTGTTTCGGGAGGAAGTCGTGTGGAATCACTCGGGATTCCAGCCACACCGGAAATGTTAATGTTTAAGAGAGAAACAGAAGCAAACAGATAACTGGTTTTGTTAGGTGATTCATTGCTGCTTGGTTGATACATGATGAATGACTGTGTCTTTTAAAATTCATTCTGGAGCAGAGATTTCCATTTTAAAAGTAACCCATTGGCCTTTGATTTGCCTGAATAAAGCATTCCGTTGGGGATTATCCATCCATCTCACTACTGGGTGGGCCTAGCTGGAGGAACTGAGAATCTCTGCTCATTAGGGCTCTGTGAATGTATACCTTCTCCAAAAACATTTTCAAACGCTTGCCAGAGCAATTAGTTCTTTTTCCCCATGAAGGGAGTTTGCTGGTGAAAAGGGGCTAGCAGGACATGAAGGGTGGCTAATTATCTACAGATTGGATACAGCCCAGACACCAACAGTGCAAATTGCCCTTCTTCCCACAGTCTGCCCTGTCCTGGCTTGAGTTCGCTCTCATTAACCTTTTAAACAAGGCTGCTAGTGAGGATCCCTCTGAGTCCATGTGCAACTCTGTTGGGTTTTGGGGTTTGAGGGTTTTGGAGAAGGAGAGGAGTGATAAGAGCATCTGTTAAACAATTTCCCTGCTAACAGGATTTAGCGTTACTGTGAGCTGGCAAGGGCAAAGAACTGCTGGGTACGATGAGCCAATGTCCCTGTGGGCAATACTGGAATATTTACAAAGCACAGTTAGTTAGCAGAACTCCTGTTGAAAGGTGTAAGCCTAATTTATACCCTGAGCCTTTAGAAATTCTGCTTTCTTCTCACAGAAGAGCATTGTTGGTAGTCCTTTTTTTTACTGTCTGGTCTACCATAAAAGAATGACCATTTTTTCTCATTATTTTCCACCTTTGCTTCCTGAAATTAGGCTTTATAATCCATATTTAGGTGTCTAAATAAAAGTGATCTGTTTTGGGAGATTGCTGAGCACACACAAATTCTGTTAAAATTAAACAGATAATGGAACATAAGTTCTAATAGTCTTACTGAAGTTGGTGAAGATTTCTTGGATAGAATTTAGCAATAATAATAAAAGTTTGGGCTCTGTATTAATGATGCTGAATTCCCCCTAAAATACAAAAAAGCCTTTGATTTCTACCAACTTCATCAAGAGCTGAATGCTGAATATGCTTCGTGCCTTGTTGGAGATGAAAGAAATTACAAAGTTCCAGAAAGCCTGTAGGACTGACAGGAATGTCAGTTCTGACAAACTACGCATCCTGGCAATAACTGCAGCAGTGATCTCCCTATCTGGTTGGGTTACACACCAGCACGGATAACAAAGAGTAGAGGATTAGCTGAAAATAGCTTCATCTTGAAAAGCAAGCCGATCTCTTTTCAAGCCCCACAGTACCGTATTGAGTTTTATACTGTATAGTGATTGTTATGGCTGTCTGAGTAGGAGTGGTGATGGACTGAACAAATGTGTGACTGCCAAAACAATAATATAAACCCATTGCTGCTCTACAAATGAGCGATGAGATTCCACCCCATTTTCAGTTCCAGTCATTGGTTATTTGTAAGAAATTGCTTTTTCTAAGTAACTTTGCCTTTGACTGGAGACCTACATGGCAGAAAAACCTGTCAGGCTTCACCAAACAGTTAGTGAGAACCCCCGTCCATGGAGACATTGAATACAGAACTGGGAAAAGCCCTCAAAAAACACCTTGGGGGACAACTCTTCACTTGCAGCAGCGTGACTAGCCTGCTGCATTTTATAATGCTCTTACCATGCCCATCACAATTTTATCCACAATAATAGCGCAGATTTCTGTCACACTGGTTTAGTCCAATAGAACACAGAACAAACTTTTCAATATCAGCATTTTGCCTGTTCTCTTATTTTCAACCAATTTCCTCTGAGCCCTTCCCACTCCACATTACTGCTTACCTGTAATATGTTACTGACACAGTGGAAGTTTCTTCTGTTCCTGGTACATTCCCCAGCAGTCAGAGAGGTTTCTGCCTGTCCATTGAGAAACAGCCACACTTTACAACACACCCCCGAGTAGCTAACAGTGCTGTATGACTGTTTGCTCTGTCTGCTCCCTGTTCTCACTTTTCTAATCTCCCACCTCTTGGTTTTGACGGCAGGATGACACTGACAGCATATGCTGCCAAGAGCAGATAAACCGTTCAATCTACTGGGCAGATGGCTTCGTTTTTGTTTACTCCATCACAGACTACGAGAGCTACCGAGTCATCCGTCCCCTCCACCAGCACATCCGCAAGATTCACCCGAATGCTAACATTCCCCTGCTTCTGATGGCAAACAAAGGAGACCTCCTGCGAGCCAGGCAGGTGTCCTCCACAGAAGGACTCCAGCTGGCCAGTGAACTGGGAGGTACTTACTATGAAGTCTCAGCCCGGGAGAACTGTGAGGGAGTGCACGAAGCCTTCCAGCAGCTTTGCCAGGAGGTCAGCAGGATGATTGGGAGCTGCAATGGAGAGAAACGAAGAGGCCTCCACCTTGTCCGACCCAAGTCTCCAAATATGCAGGACTTAAAGAGACGTTTGAAACAGGCTCTGACTTCCAAAGGCAAATCTGCCACTACACTCTGATGTACCTGACAGAAATTGTTTTCCATAGCCCTGAAAAAAAAAAAAAGGCAAGAGAATAAGCTGGTAATAAGGGGCATCGCTGAAATTCAGCAATCAGCTCATCTGAGAGGCTCTTTCATTTTGTCTTTACATCTTCCTTAAAAATCCCATGCTTGTTCAGCAAAGGAAATTTGCTCTTTGGGGCGAGAATTTAGAAACTGTGAGTTAAATAATAGATTGTCCCAAATTATTTCCTTTTTGAAAGGGACACAGTCAAATAGTTTAGGCTTAAAATGTGGATTTTTAAAATAAAAATAATTACATCCTACTTTTAAGAGAAGTGACTTCTCCTGGGGGTGGTTATGTTCCCAAACACAGGCAATAAGCTACAGTAAGACACGAGGAGAGTGACATGAGCTATACCGAGCAAGCAAAATTTACCAGATTTGCTTAGTCGCAAGACTGGAAAATAAAGGCAAAAAGTAAATGAAGAGAATAAATAGTGAAAAGTAACAATTGAAAGCTTTTAAATTGCAGTTTAGAAACTGTTGGGGAGAGATTTGTTCATATGAAAGCTTTAGCCTTACAGTGTCTCATTAAAGGGAGATTTTTAAGAAGTCACTATTTTTTCAGGTTATTTTTCTTTAAACATATATTGACTGTTTCTGAAAGTGACTATATGGGCAAAATACATACTTGTAACAGCATTTTGTAGCGAGTTTCTCAATGGCGTACTTCTCATTTTTCTGTAGGTTTCCTACATGGCAATGAGACAGGGACAAATGATTTAAACAGGACACCATGATTTAAAACCTGCCAAAAATGGACTGTATAATGGACTACATTATTAAAGAACAAGGAGGTGTTTCAAAACTATTTAACTTTTTTTTCCCAAACTAGTTAAATTTCAAGTTCAACATGCCTTTTTAAAGAAACAAGGCCTTCACATAAAGCAAATTTAATTAATTAGATTTTTTTTTTTTTAAAGAATAAAAGGTTTTATAATGCCTGAAATTTCTAGCTTCGGGAATTCATCTTTTTTTTTTGTTTGCCTTAAGACCAGCCTTTACTCAGTACCTTGCGATGCATCCAACTCACCAGTCTATCAACACATATTTTACCGGCAGCATCTCACCGCATTGTGTCTCAGCACGTACAAAGGAATCTGAAGCTGTATCCTGTGAGCTGGCCTGTTTTATGGTAGCGGTTAACTACCACATGAAGCATCCATCATTCTGTTCTCAATAAATGTGGAAAAAAACCTGGGTTGGACCATGTCAAAGTCATGATACAACAATCTTTTCTTTAAACAGACCATATGAGCAATTCACAGGACCATGAAATGAAGTAATGCTCAATGATTTACCCTCGGGAACACAAGGAAAAACTCTAGTTTGATGGATATAGAAAAATACTCCCAGCTGCAGTTTCAGATGGCAATACTGCGCTAAATCAACCTTTTACTCATTATGAGCAGCAAAAATGTAAATTGAGTCTGATGAGTATTTATATAGCTCAGGGTTTGAAAATGTATTTCATATTTTTCTTGTCCCTATATGAGACAACTCGAGTCATGATTTTCCTTATCACCTGGATTTGCTCTGTCTACAGCTCACTTTCTGTTTTATTTATTGTTTTCTGCAGCTGGTCATCTGAGAATGTCTTGTGTTCTGTTTAATTTAAAATTCTTTTATTCATACAAAAGAACTGAACCTTTTTTTTAAATTAGTTTCAAGTGGTAGTAGGAGGGAAAAAGGAAATTCAGATCATCTGAACAGGGACTCAGACAATATCAGAGGATTTCTACTTCAGCTTATGGTTAATTAATTTGATGGCTGAGCAGCGTCATTATTCATTGCAGGCACTTTGGTATGGCGTTTATTAGCACAGGATTTCAGTATTTTAAATTACTAATAGCATAGCTCAAATATCGAATCTAAAGATTCAGTATCATGAAACAGAGCAAAGAGTTTGCGAGAAACACACAAACTGAAAATTATTTGCGTTGGAAGAATTATCACCAATTTTGAATAGCAGTTGAATATTTTACTATCCCAGTACTGTATAACAAACAATTTGCTGACAACATTTGTTTTCGTAAGAGCCCAAGAGAATTAGGTGCTCTAGCTTGTTACATTTGTTTGTAACTTACTCTTTCAGCTCTAATCCTTTCTTATCTGGGAAGAAAGTTCAACAAATTTCAAACTGTCAATGTTTTATTTTCAGTAGTGATTAATAAAAACATACAAGGTCTTTCCTGAGTAGTGTATAAAGTGGCTCCTTTATGTCTCATGTCTTTAAAATCCTTGTTTAGACTAGACTAAAAATATATTTTTTCTCCTTCTTATAACCTAATACTCCCTGCTTTGGAAGTATACACAAGTATTCCCAACATTTCTGCTCCTACATAAGTAAGTATTCTCACATTCCTGTGGCTCTAGTAGGGAAAAAAAAAAAGTCTACATTTTAGCTAAGACCAAAAAATATTGAAATATTTAAGTCTTCTCCTAAATACTTACATATGGCAAACATTTATTCTGCTATAGAAACTTGAGTAGAGTATTTCCTTTGTTCATTGACCAGCACTACAAATCCTGTAATAGCTCTGATACTGGTTTTAAGCCAGGACATACCATCTAGAGAAGGCAATAGAGCTCAGCATTTTTATTAGCGGTGCAGTACTTCAGCTGCAGAACACACCACTGTGCCACTGAAGCTAAGCAAGGCTGAGGAAGGAGAATGGTAGCATGAAAAGCAGGGAAATGGTGGCATGAAAAGCAGGGAGAAAAGAACGCTATAGAATTAAGTGCCTAAAAATAATCATGTAAAATATCAATGATTATAACCTGATCCTAAATTAGAATTTTCAGGCTGCCAGGGAAAAACATGTATCTACTAACGGTTTAAAATTCAACATCCAGAGAGAAAGTGCTTGATGTAAGGTTAAGAGAGGAAGGGAAAAAAAGCGATTTTAGAGTGGTTTGGTTTTTTTTTTCAAAAGGCAAATTCTCAGTTATATTGGTGAAGTCCAGATTAACTCTGCTGGAAGCAACAGCAATGAGCTGTAGAATTCACTCTCTTCTCTTTTTTTTCCCATCCCTCTTCATTCTCCTGAGCAGTTTGAATCTTGTGCACCATCTGGTTTTCATGATGGTTTACAGCTGGGTTTACTTGGGCACAAAGCAGTTGAGTGATTTGCCCCAAGGTTACACAGCTGAGCAAGTACTTCAGAGGAGCTCAAAACCTGGGTCCTTTGTAATTAATTCCCAACTCTGTACAACAACTACCAGACCATACCACCTCCCTCAAGGTATGCACAAAGCACAGTGAGTTGTATTACACAAGAATGTAATTAAAAGTTGGACAAAGTTACTTAAATTACAAGCTACGTGAGGAACTGACTGAGCAAAGTATCACTGACGTGCTGGCACCATGCGCAATTATATTAATACCAAGACTGGTTGATGAGTTATTGAAGGTATTTGTAAATGGCTATTTTTTGCAGTATTTCTGTCAGTTGCATTTCTCACACATTTCCAGTGGTTCCCCATGGAAATACAGTGTGACCTGGGAAACAGGAAAATCAGGCTCCATTTTTAACTTTTCCTGTGACTTGCTTGATGATCTTGGCCAGATCTCTTAATCAAAGTTACTGTGTCCGTAAGTAAGAGGAAGGATATTGACGCACCTCTGCCATGCAGGAGAGAATCACCAATGAGAAATAAACAAATTGCCCGCATTTACAGTAGAGATGGCTTAAATACTAACATCTGAATTCAGATTTTGATTCCAGATTCCTTAAACTCGGAGTTGTTTGGATCCCACATTTACACTTGAAACAGGAACAAAATAGAAAATTCTGATCTGGATTTCAAGGAACAACTCGCACAGAAGTATTTGTATCCAGGGTACCTGGCTAGTCCCAGGGTTTTTGTCAGGGGTACAAATGAAAAGGAAAGAGTAACTTTCTGAGACATCAAAAGAAACCCAGTCTGTACCAGAAAACAGTTGTCTAATTGTTTTACAGGGCAAACTGGAAGGCCCACTGGCAAGCTAGAAGTCTTTGGGTCCAAATCACACTGACTCCGCTAGAGCTGGAGCTGTGCTTGCAGAGCCAGCACATGGCAAACTGTAAGGCTGCCAGCTTATTGTTACTGCTGGATTTCCCTCTGCCCACTGGCAAGCTAGAAGTCTTTGGGTCCAAATCACACTGACTCCGCTAGAGCTGGAGCTGTGCTTGCAGAGCCAGCACATGACCCTGGAGCAGCAGAACATAATGATATATTTGCTAGTATTTAGTTGTTCATGTATTTTCAGAATTCTTACAAGCTGTCCCTGTCTCCTTTGGGGCTAGCACAGGAAAGCCATGCAATTAAAAGTTAAAAATAATCCCCAGTCTCACTCTAAAAACCTCAAAAGCAGGGACAGTGGTTCTAGAAAGGTGATCCAAGCTACCACCTCTGGAGACAAAGCAAGACTCTTCCTTTGATAATTTTTCACCCCTGCTCTCACTGGCTGTGCCCTTCCTTTTCCCTCTCCATTCATACCTTTATGCTTGTTTAATTTAGCAAAGGAAAACTTCTCCAGTTGTTCTTACTTAGGCTTAGAAATATATTTTTTGCTGTTTAGTTTAAAATTTATTTCCAAATATTTTAAGTCCAAACGTGGTTTACAGCAAAAGAAGAGTGTCTACTTAGCCTTTTGACCTTATTTACCTAAAGCATTTTAGAGCACATCTAAATCAAGTCAGTATTTAGACAAACCTTTGAATTCATGCCATTTCAACCCAAGTGCTCTCACTGGCTTAGCCCAGCATTTCCTTCCCTTGTTGTGTGCTTACAGTGTTGAGCTCATTTGTGTTGCGTAGTCATTGCTTACTTAAACCTCTAGTTATTTTAAAAAGTTTTGCTGCTCTTCTATGAGATCTCTTCAGTTTAATCAAGCAAGTTCTCTCCTCTAAGCAGCTGTGCAAGCTGTAGATGAGCTAAGAACAGCTGGTGATTTTCTGCTTTGTCAGATTTTTGTCCATTATTGAAGATTTTGGAATAAACAGGAGCATGGAGAGCGATGCAGCAAACCCAGTTCTAGTCTCCTTTCATCTGTCAGCCTCCTTTGGTGACAATGATTTTATCCATTACAAAGTAGCCAAAATTTATCCTAAATGATAGTGTTTCAGCATGGGTTCCTACAGATGGAAAAACACCAAATATGAAGCAGAGAGATGAGCTCATAGGCTCTGTAAACCCTAGGATCCAATTCATACAGGAGCTGTCATACCAATCTTTTTTTCTTCAGAAGATACATTTTTTACATTTTCCTTTTTATCCAAACG